GTGGACCTGTCTCTGCTTAAATGTCATGGTTGGTCCTGCGCTGCCCATGCAATTCGATGAAGGACCCAGGCCTCAGCTTCAACCATGGCAGCAGGGTTTGACAGAGACATCAAACTCTGGCACCATAGCTAAAGCTGAAGCAGTGGACCTGTCTCTGCTTAAATTGCATGATGGCCATCAGAACCACACTCTCGTGTAGGCGCTGGACGCAGGGCGTGAGATCATGGCTTGCAGATAAATAGCGCACAGATTCGCTGTACAAATGTGCACTGCACCCGTGGCCTCCTTTTAATGATGTTGATCTGTTTGTGCGTGCCACACATGACATGCTGTTGATCTGTCTAGGGTACAATGTGTTCGACTGCTTGATCGGAAATGCGTGTCATGTGTGTCTGCTGAGGGGGCTTGGGCCATTAGGTCTGCTCCGTTTGGGCACTGTGTGGCGTTTCAGCAGGCAATCAATGAAGGACCCTTAACTTGAGTTATGTGTAGCTCACATCATGTTTGCGAACGGGCTCTTTGACATTTGCGATATGAAATCAACTGTTGCTGCGTGAAGCTGCTATCAATCACTTGTCATTGCCAGTAAGGATCAAACAATTGTCTTGATACCTGGTGTCAAGCCTTCCAAGTCGTCTGCGACCACAACCATACACAATTTAAAAGGATTCACTTCAGTTCAGCTGGCATGACATGACTCAGGCTGAACGTTGCGAATTTCAGAAAACGGACGCGAAATCCAGACAAACAAAATTCGGAAAACACGAAGACAAAATTCAGAAAACACAAGGGCGAAATTCAGACAAACACCAGCGCGAAATTCAGAAAACACAAGCAACATTCAGAAAACAACGGCGAAATTCGGAAAGCAAGCGCTGGTCTGCACAAACAAGTACGCCGTTCAGGAGGCGGACAAGAATGTTGGTGTGGCCGGGACGGTTGGGACGGTCGGGCTGGTCGGGACGCTTGGGGGCGGTGGGGACGGTCGGGACGGTCTGGACGCTGGGATGGTGGGGACCGCTCGACGAAGAAAGAGTACGGTGGGGGGGTGTCCCGACCACGGTCTGGTGGGGACCGTCGGGATGGTTGGGGCGGTCGGAACGGTTGGGACGGTCGGGGCAATCTGGGCGGTCGGGATGGTCGGGATGGTGGGGACGGTCGGCATGGATGGTCGGGACGGTCGGGGGCGGTCGGGATGCTCGTGATGGTCAGGACGGTTGGGACAGCTGGGATGGTCGTGATGGTCGGGACGGCGTTGGCCGAGTGTCTCTAAAAAGTCTTTCGGGCTTGGGCGTTCTGGCGTGCACGCAGCTGGGCCTCTGCTTTTGAAAGGGTCTGGAGACGTTCGAGGGGCGTGCTGTGTCCAAGGCAGACATTTGTTCGAGGCTTATAGAGATGCTTATCAAGGTCTGCCTAGGGTTGAGGGATGAAGTACCGGATTATTCCTGTCAAAGGCAAATGTTGGCCGCTCTTGGGTTTAACTGCACACCCTTAGGCCTTTTGACCACCAGTGTGTGGAATCTCT